CTATAGTTATAATGAGGAACGCCCCAAAAATTCTATTCTAATTATTCAGGCCCCTACCTTCTTCAGGGCATGGGGTTTAGGGTCTAAGGTTACGGGCTTAGGGTAGATACGGATGAGGATTGAGACTTCGGGTATGGGGGCTGTGAGGTTTAGCAGCTCAAGGTTTGGAGACCCTGTCCGAGGCGCCTTTAAAGGGTTTAGGGTTTAGGGTTTAGGGTTGAGGGTTTAGGGTTTAGGAGACTCAAGTCGAGACCCCATCTCGCAAGCTAAACCCTCAATCTCGCAAGCGCCAAACCCAAAGAAACCCTAAATCCGTCCAGCCCTAAAGTAAGCCGTCGCAGGCAGTATACAAAACCATAACTGGCATAAAGTCCCCTAAACCCTAAACCCCAAACACCTAAACCCTAAGCCCCATAAGCCTTAAGCCCTAAGCTCTGAAAGCCCCAAACCCTAACCATCCAACCCCGACCCCCGATCCGGCTCTTTTGATGTCAAGCACCGATCTAATCAACGTCGAGGCCCTGGTGCTTGAGGTTTGGGGGGTTCGGCGCTCACACTCGGACAATGGGGGTTTAGGGGTTAGGGGTTTAGGGTTTAGGGTTTAGGGGTTTAGGGTTTTTTTATCCGGGTTTAGGGTTTAGGGGTCTAGGCGGGTTTAGGGTGTTAGGGATTAGGGGTTTAGGGTTTAGGGTTGAGAGCTGGATGCTGCAGCCGGGGTGCAGGCACCCGGAACACATGTTCGTCGAAGGCTTTAGCTCAGCCGAGCAATTCAACCAAGAGCTCTGTATCGGCACCGTGCACTTGATGCGGTTTTTTGGTGAAACAGAGACCTGGAGAAAACCGAGTCTGGGCTGCAGCCAGAAGCCTTGTGGTACTCTCATAGGACCCGTGTAGTACCCTTAAAGGAACGCCTTCAAGGAACCCCTATACTGGCCTAATGTACAGATTAGACCTCTCCCGGTCCCTGCAGGGTCCCTCAGTCTATAAATAAATAAGGCTTTGGCGGTGTATCATGCTAAGAAAAGCTGGGAGCTATAAGGGACTATTATTGCTGCCTCAAGCCAGAATCTCTTGCACACCCTAAGGGAGTATAAACTAGTATAAACCCGGATCCCACTTTACTACATGGATCCCTCAAGTGGCAACAAATCTCAACTTGTACCAGGTCTCCTCTCGGCGAATGTTAGTACCATACACCCTCACACAAAGCATCGTGCTTGGTGTCCGCACCTCGGGTTCAGGGTCTAGGTCTGGGCCATTGGGGTTAGTTTGACAATTGAAACTCTGCCAGCAGTTTTGGGTGCGTCGCATGATGTTGCAGGTTTCAGTTGGGAGCCTGCTACAAAACAAATGGGACCTGAATGAAGATAGTTGGTATTTGGGATACACTTACAATAATAGGAACCCTGCGGAACAATATCGGCACTCATTCAGGCCCCTGCAGTATAGCACTGGCCGAACCACCTTGCACAAAACTTCCAGAAAGCTCAGGGACGCTAATTCAATGCGAGAGTCCCTCGTCTGGAGGACACTACCCCAATTGAAATGACCCGAGCCGCGCTGATTGTATCGACCCTACTTTCCGCGCTTGGCCGCAGGGAATAGTATTGGCAATCATTCAGGCATCTAATTTAGGGGCCTTAATAGTTGGAAAAGGGTTTTGGGGCCCGTTATACTCTAACTTTTTTAATAAGGAACCCCCAAAGTCAATGTTGGTTTACGCCCCTATATTATGCTAAGGTTAACCGCCATAAACCGCTTAATAGACCCGACAACGGGAGACCCGGAAGTGTTAGTACGTACCCACCCCAACCACCCCGACCCGCACCGGGCATGCAGAAACCTTATGCCTTACTAGTCTTAGTTCGAAAGCATATTAGTCACAAGGTTCCCCAACACCCCAAAGCCCTAAGCCACCCTAACCCCCGAAGCCCTGTCCTTAGAATCCTAAACTCTAAACCCCCTTTCTGATAAACCCTAAACACCTTCAAAGGCCGAAAACTTCCTTGCAGAGGAAGCTGCGGTGCTCGCAGTTGACTAGAGTGCCATCCTCCTTGTCAATGCACAGGTAGTCGCCTGGGCTCGTCTAGGGTTGAGGGGGCAGGGTCTAGGGCTTCCTTCCCAGGGTTTAGCAATACGGTTTAGGGTTTAGGGTTTAGGGTTAGGGTTAGCGAAAGAGGTTAAGGATCGAGGGTACGAGGGCTTTGGGCATAGGGCTTACTCAGTATAGGACTTGAAGTTGTTTTCGGACGCCTTTAGAGGTTGGACTATGTACAAAGTTCAGGGTTTGACCTCGGCAAATCGCAAATCCCGTAGCGACCCCTTTCATCCAAGATTCCGTTGCTGCCCGTAACGGATCCAATGCCGGCTACAGAGGCGCCATCGTCCCACTTCCAGCCGCCCTGGTAAAGGGTGGGACTGAACAAGACCGCAACCACTGCAAATTCTGTAAACTGATACCTGAACGGGGACGACGAAGACGACGACAGTTACAACGAAGTTTACGGCGACCGTGCAGACGACCACGACTACCACGTGCTCTGCCTTAGAAACTCTCGTTAGTCTTCTGTTGACAGAGATGTCGCTTGCAGAATGAAGACCTTTCAAAGCCTACTCGCCGAACGGATCTTAACCTATCCCAAAATCCACACCATTCCTAGATCTGAAGGATGGTTTACCCTTAAAGCCGACTCTCCCTGCGTTGCACAAGGAAATGGAACAACAAGTGAGCAAACCACAACATCATCCTGCAGGTACTTTTTCGAAACGGTAATAGGGTTCTCAGGTATACTCTAACTGAAGCTAAAATTCGAACAGCAAGGAGTCCTCTATTACGGCTTTCGGCCAAGTTTCTCTGGACGAATAGACCTCGAATATCCTTCCGATCTCCCAGCGAAG